ACCCGTACTAATGCATTATGACCCTAATAAGCCAACTCAACTACGATGTGATGCTTGTCATTACGGAGTAGGGGCAATTTTATTACAGGAAACTGAGAAACAATGGAAACCTGTAGCTTTTTCAAGTCGTTTGTTACGTGGAGCTGAACTCAACTATGCAATCAGTGATAAAGAATGTTGTGCAATTATTTACGCAATTGATAAGTTTAGACCTTATCTGGATGGAATCGAATTTGAAATATTTACAGATCACTGCAGTTTATGTTTTCTTCAGTCTAAACAAAAATTACCTCCCAGATTGCTAAGGTATTCGTTATTGCTTCAGCAGTTCAACTTCAAAATAACTTATAAGTCAGGGAAACATCACAAAGACTGCGATGCTTTATCTAGATACCCTGACGTCGAAGAAAATGAAGAAGCTAAAATAGACGACGATGAAAGATTATTTGCATTTCTAACTATGCAAAACGTTTTACAAAATGAACAATTAAAAACTGAACAGGAAAACGATCCTTATATTAGGAGTTTAAAATGTGAGATTGAAAATAAAGCAGTAAAACCAATAAAAACTCAAAGAAAATTAGAAAGATACAAAATAGATGAAGGGATCGTTTATCGTATAGTTAAAAGACCTTATGAGACTAGTTGGAACGTAGTAGTACCTTCAAATCTAAGACAGCAAATAATCCAAGCCTATCACGATGATGTTCTCTCTGGACATGTTGGTTTTCAGCGAACTTATGAGAAAATAACAGCCAAATATTATTGGCCTAAAATGACCACACATATCAATGACTATGTTAAGAAATGCGCCGTTTGTCAGGCCAACAAAAGAGGTCCTCTCATGCTTGAAGCTCCTCTCCAATCTATTACCTCGTCCCATCCTTTCGAAAAAATAGGCATTGATATGCTTGGTCCGTTGCCGCTTTCAGCAGGGAAACAATACATAATAGTGTGCACAGATTATTTCACACGTTGGGCTGAAACACGTTCAACTAAAAACCAGAAAGCGACAACAATTGCACGTTTTATTATTGAACAAATTATGTCAAGACATGGCTCCCCAAAAATAATAATAAGTGATCAGGGAAGATACTTTATTTCCAAAATAATTAAGGAGATAAACTATTTTCTTAAAACTGATCATTATTTATCTTCTCCTTACCATCCTCAAACTAATGGTTTAGTGGAAAAAACTAATCAAACTTTAACAAGAATGATAACCCACTATGTACAAGAAAATCCAAGATGGGATTTAGTACTACCAATGATTACTTTTGCTTACAATACAGCTAATAACACTAGTACTAAAGCTTCACCCTTTTACCTAATTTACGGAAGAGAACCTAAATTACCGATAGATGTCGCTATCGAACGACAACAAAAACCAAGTAATCCTTATTCAGTCAACAAATATCTCACATTTGTTGAAGAGCAATGGCCAGAGATTCGAGAGATGGCAATGAACTTCACAAATTCTGCCAAAGAAAGTCAAAAATTTCGACACGACCGAGACAAAGATTTCGAATTCTTCCGAGAGGGAGATAAAGGTGATGCTGAAAAACGACTTAAAAGAAACTAAATTTTCTCCATTGTTCAAAGGTCCTTATGTCGTTGAAAAACGAATTGGTGAAACCACTTATGAGATTC